TTTTTTTTTTTTTTTTTTTTTTTTGTGAATGGGAGGGAAGAGCGACTCGGGAGGGCTGAAATGCGGAGGGTTACATTTTTATGAATGGGGAGGACTCCGAATAGCATTGCGCAGGCGCGATACCCAGATTTTTATGAATGGGAAGAAATGGCGAATGAAGCGTGTGTTTGAGTGTGTGTGTGTTTGTGGCAGGCATAGAGACTGGAGAGTGGGTGTGTGTGAGGGAGGGGGGGAGGAAACGAGAAGGTTGGGGGCTTTTTTTTGGTCACAAGGGCAATGTCAGGGCTGATTTACATTTCTAAAAAAATCGTCTCTCGTATATTTGGAGCGTCTGATTCATTGATATTCGGCTGTTCCGTGTCAGGGGAGACGCGATTACGTGAATGTGTAACGTGAAGCGTCACGTAGGTGGCACGGATCTGTAATCAGTTCAAGCTTTTAGTGGGGAGACCCGACATAAAAAGTCTATCAAACGCCTGATGAACACGATGCTCTTAGTCCAATTTCTGGGATAATCCCAGGAATGTGAGAGATGACAGGTTTTTATGTCGGCCCATTTAATCGTGGAAATTTGAAGGTTTGTTTTCATCTTAATCCCTGTATTCTCGACGAGGATGTCAAGGTGCCAGGTGGGGAAGGAGGGGGGGGGGGGGTCACATGTCTGAGATGGACTAGACCAAATAATAGCCGCTCCCTTCTTGTTTCTGTTCTATCTAAAGCCATTTATTGCGAGCAAGGACGTGCCTTTCCTCTGCAACAACATGAGGTATGAGTAGGCTGCAGCTTCTATGGAAGTGTGAAAAGGGGAGGTGTGTGTGTATGTGTGTGTGTGTGTCTGTGGGAGGGGGTTATAAGGCCCACTCGGAAACGCAAACCAGCATGAGGGCAGGCAGGATTCACAAAAGGACAGGATGTTGTTGATTTGTCCCGAAACCACACGGAGGAAATGAGTGTGAATTTCCTTTCTCCCTGACATCCTAGTGCGTGTGTGTGTGTGTGTGTGTGTGTGAGTGTCCGTACAAAAACCCCCACAGCCCTCTACACCCCCACCCCCCCTGCCATCAGTTTGGTGCTTTTAACCAGTCAAAGGTTAACAGTTGCCCCATTATCCGTTTGCACTCATCACCACGGCAACCAGGACACCTCCAAATTGGGATGATTGTTTTGGAAATAAAATAAAAACAAAACGGCCTAAGAGAAAGGGAATGAAGTGGAGAAATGAGTGATTTTGTCTTAACTTTAGTTACTGTCACTACAGCTGACAGCAATGAATGAAAATGTAAAATAGGAAGAGAGCAGTTGTGCTAATTCACTTTACAAACAGTTTGAAACTTTGTAATCTTTACGTCCTATATTTCAATCAACACTACAGTGATGTAAAAATTCTAAATATATAAGAAATATATTAATATGAGGCATGAGTAAAAAAAAAATCACAGTATTGAATACATCTAACATTTTAGACATAATTTAAAGGGGATTTTTCAAAAGAATTCCCCTCCAATCTGCTGTTTTTGTTTTTATTAAATTCTTTTCTTTAAGTGGGTGTTTTCCAAAGTGTTTTTTTATGTTAATTTCTGAAATGTCTTATATTGTCTTGGTGTTTATCTTATAAGGAAAGACCTCTGCCACAAATGATCTGTATTAAGAATATTAAGTTGACCTTATTCTGTATTTCAAAAGTAAACAGCAGTGTGGGGTGAGGCAAAGCTGTAGCAAAAGGTCTGTGCCTTTGTCTTTTGTTAAACTATAACCCACAATAACAATATTAAACATCCACCTCAACAGCATTAAAAAAAACAAACAGATCATGCTGTCGCTCAGCTGCTAATAATAATTTTTGTAACTGCCCAACTCCGTCAGCAGGAATGTAAGTCTGCAGATGTATGAAGAAACAATGGAAGCTTTTACAATCTATAGAGAAACGTCCGCCTTTTCCTCAGATTCCTGTGTGCCTCTTTATTTTTTCCACACACAGATGTGCAGAGCACACTGTGGATATTCTGCATTTCTGTCTGCAGCTGCGTGGCTCGCAGGCACAGCGTGCACACAGTACTTGTTGAATTGTGGATTTCTCAATGGTGTGATCATCCAGGCGTACATGCGCGGAAGGGATGGCCGGATTTTCTCTCTCTCTCTCTCCACAGTCCTCCCTCCAGGCCTCTCCCCATGCCAC